CTGCTTCAGTTTGTGCCCCTTGCCCCTTGTCCTGTTGCTGGGCACCACTGGAAAGAGTCTGGCCCCGTCCTCCTGACACCCACCCTGCAGATATTTAGAGGCATTTCTAAGGTCCCCTCTCAGCCTTCTCTTCTCCAGGCTGAACAAGCCCAGGTCTCTCAGCCTTTCCTCATAGGAGAGATGCTCCAGCCCCCTCATCATCCTCACCCATCAGTATGAAAGCTCGGGGGGTGCTATATCGCTTTGCACCCTGTGCCGTGGGAAAAAGCAGCACGGCGCGTGGGCCCGGTTAATTCCCGCTGCTGAACACCGCCGTGCCGGTGAACGTTCCTGTCCGTCGAGCGCTGAGACGCTGTCAGCTGTAGGGAATCGGGCGCCGTGTGGGTTGCTGCTCAGTTGTCGTGTCCGTGCAGCCCGTGTCGTGAGCGTGTGTAGAACAGCGTTGTCTGCGGGGCATCGGGTGGTGGCCTGAGCTGTTCCATCTCAGTAGTCGAGGATTTCCTTGCCTCGCTCTCTGCTTTTTCCAAAACACATCTGGTGCAGATCCAGCGGGAGGTTTGATTTCTCTCCCGAGACTATTTGCAGACTTGCTGAATGAGCCCGTGACTTTAAACGGCGCGACCCCCCGACTAACGAGCCATGATTTTCCGGTGCTGAAATACTAATCCAAAACGAAAACCCAGTTGGCTGCTGGAGCTGCAGACCGTCGGTTCCAAGGGTTTAATTTCACTGTACGGTACCTGCGAGACGGTTGCTGAGGCCGCCTGGGACGCGAGTCACCTCCGTCTTCTGCTCGGGGCTCATCTGGCACTGCTGGGAATGGCTCCCGGTGTGTTTTGTGAGTTTGTGTATACAGTTCTGTGCAGCTCTGTTCCTTTTTTTCCTCTTTTTTCCTCTTTTTAGCGATTTTAGGGAAAGCAGTGTAACAAAGCACACTCTTAGCAGCTGGAAAGTATATTAATTTATCTGTAGTAGAACATTTCCTACTGAATGAGTTATTTTAGATGCAAATACTCAGATGGCTGGTTTTGCTGTGTCTCAGGGATGGCACTTATATATTTTTGCAGGAATTGTTTTCTACAGATATATATATAGATAAATATGAAAAACTGTGGAGATGAGGACTCCATATTGTCTTTTATGTTTGGACTATAGGAAGAAAGGGAGTTCTACAAAAGAAGTGAATGATTTCAGCAGAGGACTCGCTGTGCAATCAAACAGGCTGGTTTTGCTGTGTCTCAGGGATGGCACTTATATATTTTTGCAGGAATTGTTTTCTACAGATATATATATAGATAAATATGAAAAACTGTGGAGATGAGGACTCCATATTGTCTTTTATGTTTGGACTATAGGAAGAAAGGGAGTTCTACAAAAGAAGTGAATGATTTCAGCAGAGGACTCGCTGTGCAATCAAACAGATTCTAAAAACTCAGGCTTCTAGGTTCTTTCAGAACATTGTACGTGAATTTGGGAAGCTTTGTTGTGCAAAACTGGGAGACAAAGCACCTCATTAGACTCTTAGCGTGTTTAAGGCCCCCTTCTTCCTAGAGAAAGAAGAGTTAATTTTGCTCAGGTTGAAGACTTGCCTGTTAGTAGCACTGACTTCAGAATGAAGAAGGAGGGCTAGTTTTTGACGTTCAGAGAAATTTCATCTTGGAAGATTGATCAAATACATATATTTAAAAAAAAAACAACACATAGATATATTCATTTTGATAATTTGTTTTGTTAGGTTGCTTTCAAGCTTTGTTAGACTGTTTTCCATCAGCAGTGTGGGTTGACGAGTAGCAGAAAGCGGAGCTGGGCATGGCGATAGGCGAGAAGTGAGGAAGGCGTATCTGGGCTGAGGAAAGTATCTAAAAATCTGCTGTAGGAAGTTTATAAGAAAAACAAATAACTAAAACAGAAAAAACAAGCAATAAAACCAACCGAGGCTTTCTGAATTTCTGACAATGACGCAGCCAAATGGCGTTTGGGTCCCACACCCACAAGGGTTTTCACTGACGGGTCTGGGCTGAGACACTCGTACGTCTGCCAGCTCAGAACTAACCCAGTGGGGTTAGAGAGTCGTGCCAGGAGATGAGCTGCGTGTCTGTGCTCCAGGTGGACGAGATCAGATCAGTTGGTCATTTTTTAAGGATATCTGACTCGCTGCGTTGAGCAGATAAGGTGGATTTTTTTTAAACACCGGGGTTGAAACCAGAAAGGATGGTTGTTCAAAATGCCGTGGATCCCCAGCAGAAGTTACACTGTGCGTGGACAAAAGGGTTTTTGTAACATACAGTTTCCAAATCCATGTTTTCATTCGTTATCAAACTGCTGAGTAGACCCTTGTATTAGTTTACAATGTGGCTTAAACAAGAGCTGAACAGAATGAAACGCTGTTCAGTTTATAAACAGTAAAAATCTTTTAAACTGGAGAAATATATAGAAAATATTTTATGGCCTTTTAAACGATCAGAAGCCTCGTATAAATATCACTAGCAAAGGGTTTTTTAATTTTTTCTTGTAAATATTTTTTAAAAACAGTTATTTGATGTCTGTTTTAGAGAAGTTCTTTGTAATTTGATTTCTACGTAGTAGTTTTCCTGGTATTTATACTAGAAGCTTTGTTAGGAGTCCTCTATTCCAAGGCTCTGTTAATTAATACACGCAAACAGCAAAATTACAAAGTTCCTTTTTTAAGTAGTTACTTTCGGTTGGTTTATTTGGTTATTTATTTTTTTGTTAGTAGCAGTCAGTTTTAGTTATTTTTCCTCTCCCACGGATTCTTTACAGCTTGACTAAATCTACCCCTTGTTGGCTGTAGTTACGTTTTGAGCGATAAAAGCTGGCGTCGCCCTCGGTTCGAGGGCCGCTGCCTTCGTTAGCGCGGGCGGTGATAAATCTGGGAACAGCCACCCCGCTGCGTTCCCGGCCAGCTGCTGGGTCGTATGCTTCGTGTCAGTCCGTAGAGATGCCCGGCTTTTTGCCAGCGAAGCAGACAGAGGAGGTGTCTGTAGCTCGGTGACGGAGGAGTGAAGTCTCCGCGGGGTGGACGTGCCCGTCCGTCTGTCTGACCGCGGTGTTTGTGTTTCCTCCGGGCTTGCAGAGGCGGCAGGAAGAGGAGTATTACAGTCGCTTAGAGGCGGAAAGGCGCCGGCAGCACGACGAAGCAGAGCGAAGATTGCTGGAACCTGACGAGCCTGGTCTGTACAGACCTCCGCTTCCACGGGAATATGAACTCCCATCCCCAACCCCTTCATCTAACGCTCCTCCTCCCCCACCTCAGCGAAACACCTCTTACCTCAAAACACAGGTCCTCTCCCCTGACACGATTTATACTGCCAAGTTTGTTGCATACAATGATGATGATGAGGAGGAGGAGGATTCCAATCTAGCAGGTCAGGATAAGTACTCCAGCACAAGAAAATCTTATGGTGACTTTCCTCCTGCCACCCTTAAGCCACAGCAGCCCTCCCGCCAGCCTCGCCCAGTTTCAGATGGCCTCTTTCTTTCCAACTCATTCCAGTCATCTCCAGTCAATGCCAACAGTACTGCTGCCAAAAAAAGCCAGCCCCTGCCCCCACCAAACAAACCGAGTTCCATCCATGCCAGCAGCTCTAAAGGTAGACACCGCGCAATCAGGCGTCTCTGCAGAACTGTCCTCCTGTTTTCAACTCTGGTGCTGTAGATCGAATCACCGACTTCGTGATTTACTTTCCCCCCCCCACTTAATCGCTATTTTCGCTATGGTGATCTAACGTAAATCCTGATATTAATACGAATCCTCCAATTTTTAATTGTTTTGATCTCTCAAATTTCCTTGTTCTTTACCCAAACTCTTCAGAAGCAAAAATTCCATCTTTCACCCAACGAATCGGAGACGGTTTCAGCTGTTACTCAATCGGTTCAAAGTACTGTTGGTTTTGGCTTTCACTCTGTGTCTCTCAGTGATTTGTTTTGTGCAGCTGAGCGCTGGTTACTCAGGGCATCTGGAAGCGCACCTTTCTTCAACGCAGGAAACCTTTGCTGATGGGTTCGTGGACAGAGCTTTAGCTTCTGCTTTCGGTATTGGTACCGGGGGTCTCTCTCTCGACAGCGTGTGCAAATGGCTTTAAAAATCACCTTTGTAGACACAGTTCTTAAACACACAAGCAGCTCGAGACACGTAGAACGTGCAGCTAGTTCATGTATTAAGCCCCTTTACTGCTGGTTTGTGCGGTGCAGTTTTCTTGCAGAGAGTGAGAAAAGCCCAACTTTCATCTTGGAGCTTTTAGCCTTGCTCCTTACCTCCCCTGTTATCTCTTTGTCTCCTCGTCTTGTTTCTTCTACAACTCCCAAGTGGGCAACCGTAGTGGAGTTTGGTTTCAAGGAGAGCTCTAGCTGCAAGTAACCTCAGCACTGTGTTTTATCTGCAGAGTACGAGTTTAGCTGTGGTCATGAAATCAAAGCCAATTCAGTCCAAAGTTCCATGCGACATTTTTGTTTATGCTGCTGCCGTATAGGAGGAATCTTACGTACTTTACTCTTCGAGTATGTGTCTGTGTAGATCTCGCTCTAAAAAATTTGCAGTTTGTTGATACAAGATTTTGTTTTCAAACAGCAGCATCTGCCAGCACTTCCCCACGTGCATTTTCTTCTTCTGTGTTCTCCTGAAGGGAGTGGTGGCCATGGCATTCCCCTAGTTTGTTCCTTTTACTTGTGCTGGAAGTCAGCAAAGGCCTGGCCACCAGCTCCAGCTGCTCACCTCCTCCCTCCAAACGCGGAGGGCAGCAGTCAGCTGAGGCAGCGAGGGAAGGGCTTCCTGCTGGCTTCCGGCTCACTTCTTCGCTGCATGCGAGTCCCTGACAGATGCGGAAGCCTGCAGTGCGGCACAGCCCTGATCGCCTTTTAGGCCACCTAACGAGTGATGACAGTCACTTCTTCAAGCAGAGGTGTGGCGTGCCCGGTCACGGGGAGCTCAGCAGCCTCAGAACAGGGTCTGTCGATCGGGGGCACTGCTGATCCAGCTGCAGGAGCGCGGGCGTCCGATTTAGGATCCGTATGAGGCCACGCCGGTAGGGGATAAGGGAAGCTTATCCTGTCTGCATCCTTCTTAACTGAGGCTGAAGGCACCGTTTTCCAGCAAGGCATCTTCTCCTTTGCAGGGAAAAGTAGTTTCTCTGCTGCAGTTGGACTCCTTCCAGTGCCAAAGAGAAGCTCTGCACAGCACTGTGTCGTTTCAGTGCTGCTGAAGGGACAGGCGTTTAGCTCAGAATTATGGTCTGACTGATGAAGCTGATCACACACACACAATCACAGAATGTTCGGGGTTGGCAGGGCCCTCTGGGGATCCCCCAGCCCAACCCCCTGCCCAAGCAGGGTCACCCACAGCAGGCTGCACAGCACCGCATCCAGGCGGGGCTGGAATATCTCCAGAGAAGGAGACTCCACAGCCCCTCCCTGGTCAGCCTGGGCCAGGGCTCCATCACCCTCAGAGGGAAGAAGTTCTTCCTCCTGTTCAGCTGGAGCTTCCTCTGCTTCAGTTTGTGCCCGTTGCCCCTTGTCCACCACTGGAAAGAGTCTGGCCCCGTCCTCCTGACCCCCACCCTGCAGATATTTAGAGGCATTTCTGAGGTCCCCTCTCAGCCTTCTCTTCTCCAGGCTGAACAAGCCCAGCTCCCTCAGCCTCTCCTCGTAGGAGAGATGCTCCAGTCCCCTCATCATCCTCACAGCCCTCCGCTGGACTCTCTCCAGTAGCTCCTCCTCTTTCTTGAACTGGCAGCAGTTTTGCTGTTGGGGTCAGTACAGCACTGAAGTTGCATAAAAATTACCAACACTGACCAAAGGAAGAAAATGCCCCACCTATTTAGTTACCCTGCTGCTGCCCGTGCGATCTCGTGATGCAGTCGTCCCTGTGGAGCCCGCAAGCCTGTCTGGCTCTGTCACAGGTTCCAAATGTTACAGGCAGGCGAGGGGAGGTTTTGGCTTGTTCCTGTGCTGCTGTCAGACTGAAGGCAGACACGCTGTACTCTGCCTGCGAGGGGCTGCCATTACAGTGTGCCCACCGATAAACCCGCGGCCAGCGAACCCAAGTCACGGGTTTGTGTCAGGAGGACTCTAGCTATTAAGCACCTTATATCACACAGTTAATGGGTTAAAGTAAGATTAAAGAAAGACAGGAAACGTGTGGAAAAGATTCTCTTCCGACACTGACTGCCTGTTGTCAGTTTGCTCTGAGGAATGCCCTGAGGCAGCAGGCTGCTGGCGTGGCACTGCCGTACTCCGTGTCTGCACTGCGTTTTTGTTCTTCCAAAGCGCTTTCTTTTTCTAGAAATTATCTGAAACTGGCTATAACAGAGTGTAAAAACGTTGCCTTCTGTCGCAACACGTAGGCTTCCAAAGGCCCTCGCTTCCCTTCCTTGCTGGCGCTTGGCAGGCTGTCCGTGTCATGAGTTCAGTGAGTCCTCAGCCATCAGTCGGTAGCCGTCAGCACCGCCCTTCCCACCTCCCGTCATCCGCCACCCAGAGTGCCATTTCGTGTGTGATCGAATTTCCCAGTCCTGCTTGCTGTTCGTTTTAATGGGAAAATGAGTCTCGGCAAAGTGAAATGTGTAGAGATATTTTTGTGTGTTGTGCACGTTTTGGTTTTGCTGGAAAACAATCAGGACGATCTACAAAGATCTGGTTAGGGGTTTGGTAGCAATTAAGGAATATTGTCGTATGATGCTTCGCCTTTAATAACCTAATTCACAAACCATACCACTAATTCTGAATACTCTTATTCCGTAATTTTTAAAATAGCCATGAGAACAGGGTTAACTTCACCTGGTTGCTCAAGCTTCTCTGAAGACTGCCTGCGTAACGTACAAAGCCGTTTGCACCAAATGCAGAACTCGCTGTGCAGTTCGCCATCTCCCATCTCGCTGCCTCCGTCACGTTGCTGTCCTTCGCAGCCCGCTGCTCTGCTGAGTGTTAACTCTAGTAAACCACGCTTCTGCCACTCTTGCTCTCCTACCTTCTTCCACTGGGTCCTGCCGAGGCCGTTGGGTCCGTCAGCCACCCGAGGCACAAAAAAGCCAACACTGGAGTGCAAAGTGCCGTCCCGGAGCGGGTGGACACGGGATCCACAGCGTGTGGACCCAGACTGCACCACGTAGGGAAGGTCGTGCTTGTACGATTCACGGCTGAAAGGAAAAAGAATGTTCCTCTGCCGGGCGTACACCTGGTGTGATTTGGTCTGCCACAGATTCTGGTGGGAAAAAATTCAGCCTGCAACACGCCGGCGAAATTTGCTTGGGTGTTCCAGCCTCGTGTGTGTCTCTTCTTGAATATTCACGAGAAGTTACGTGTACCAGTGGAAGAAGCAAACATTTCCTTCTATACCAAAGAAGGTTCACAAGACATAACGCGTGCAATATTGAGACTAGAACCTGAGTATTAAGTTGACACTGATTTTTTTTACTTTTTCTGAGAGTTACTAAGAGAATACGGACTTAAATACAGATGAAATTGTTAAACTTTCTGATTGGAAAGAAAAGGTTTTGTCTTGTGGCCTTTAGAAAGAATTAATATAATGTGTAAAACCTGTGTGTTGTATCAACCTGAACTGAAGGTGCAGTGCTGCAAGATACTCGCTTGAAATTTAAATTGAAGAGGGCGGGGAGGGGAGGGAAGGGGCATTTTCTGAGTGACGCCGTTGGCTTCATCAGACTGAACAGAGCCGAAACCGCTGCCTCTGCTGCGTTGCCAGCATGGTGTGCGCTAAGCCGAGCTTGCTTTTCGCCTCGTAAAGAGAGCGGCTGCAGCTAACTGATCTCCTGGGGAGCTTGTCGCGGGGTAGCGAAGCGTTGCCCTGCCCGTCAGTCTCCCTGAGCAGGGCCTGATGCCTGGCTTGCAGGAAGCCGCAAGGAGATAAAGACCACGATTTGAGAAGCGCGGGGTAATCGAAACAACATCTGTCCCGACTCAAAATTAGGAATAAAAATAAAAGTACAGCTGTTTTGAGGGGGGGTGGAGTTTAGTAGTGCTGTCTACAAGTCGGATGACCCTCTAAATTAATTTCTGATTCCAGTTTGAGATTATTTCTTGAAAGAAGCACTGCACCTTTTTGAACAAATCCAGTATAAAACTTTTGTGTGGTAACTGCTGTCCTTCAACTTACGTTTTCTTTTGCATAAGGAATAAACTCATACACTGGATCTACAGGAGCAGCCGTTGGGGCCCATGACGTTTATCGGGATCCAAGAGACAAAAGATCTAAAAGGTGACGTGCAGGAGTCCAGTAACTTTTAGAAGTTGTGTAGACTCGGGGAATTCTGCAGTGTTTTCTGTTGTCGTTGTATTTCTGTGGGCTACTCAAGAGTTCTGCTCTTGGCTCCGGAGTATCTGGAGTTGCTATAAAACACGACCAAGTTCTCCGCAAGTCTTTGGGTGATCTGCAGTGCTGCTTCACAGCAGCAACTTTCAGCGCCACAACTGAGTAAACTCAGTAAATCACTGTGAATTAACAACTTCAGCGGGTTTAGGTGGATTTATAAATCTGACCAGTACCTCTCAAGGGGCGTTCTTGCCAAATTTGTAGTGAGCGTAAATAAGACGCGGGCTGTATCTTAGGCGTGAGTGGCAGGTTTACTGTGTAGCGTCCTGAAGACGTGATGGGGCTGGGCGAGGATTCTGTCGAAGCTGCTGGGCCGGTTCCTGCATTTTAGCCTGTAGTCAGTGTTGCGGTGGAGCGTGCAGAGCAGAGACCTCTTGGAGCTAAAAGCAAAGCCTCTATTTCTGAAGTATTGTTACAGCTGCAACTAAGAATGATTTGAGAACTTTACTGCGGCGGTCAGAAACGCGTAGTGTAAAAATTAGTTTGCTGCAAGGATGAGAGATCAGTGCAAAGCTTCGGTAACGATCGCGCTTGGAAGCTTTGCCGATATAGAATGAAATGCAGCCACTGCAGCATACCTCACAGAATCCCAGCATGGTCGGGGTTGGCAGGGACCTCTGTGGGTCACCCAGCCCAACCCCCTGCCCAAGCAGGGTCACCCACAGCAGGCTGCACAGCACCGCATCCAGGCGGGGCTGGAATATCTCCAGAGAAGG